TACTATTTAAATTTTCTTGCTTGCTGTTCAGTTCACACAGATTGCTTAATACACACTTGGTATGCAACCTCTGCCATGATACACTTCTAAATTTAGTCCTGACATTTTAGTTTGTAGCTTAAAGTATGTCATGATGTTCCATAAATTTTTGTCCTAGAGGAATTAAAGGTGTTCATTTTTAAGCAGTTTGGACTATCAGCTGTGTTAAAATGCACAATTTTAACGCAGAAATGAAAAAAGTTGGAAAACTCTTATATAAGATGGTTGCTTTTGTTCTTGAAATTACTGAACCAGACTGCCATCTATTGGAAAATAGATATTTTTTTTAATTATACTTTAAAAAAAAGGAAAAAACCCAAAATAATGTGAAACTGCTATAATTTACTGTCGAAATCTGATTTTTCTAGCAATCGTACTTAAATCAGCTTGAAAAGGAAACACCTTAGTTAATTGAACTGTGATAAAGGGAAAGATTTTCCTATATCTTTTTCCACCTCATGTTTTCTGAAATAAGTTTTGAAGCACAGCTTCTTTTCTGACTCACTGAACAATCAAATTCTAGGTTTTTTGAAAGATTTTTATTTAGGGAACATAGGAAAACTGTAATACGTCAGCACTGAGCGATACACAAGTATAAAGCTTCCTCAGCTTGCCTGTGCAGCATCAGTCAGGGCTTTCCACACCTTTGCATACACAGCTCAACTAAAGAGTACATTCATGTCACAATGACCAAAATGGGAAAAACAAAGACAGCAACTGGAGGCAAAAAAATCTGTGAACCGACTGTCAACCCCACCCAGCATACAAGTCATTGAGAAATAATAGGAATTCCAACTAAAATGATGCATAGGTCTATGAATGTCTTTTGGAAGTCTCTCTGAAGTAAAATTGCAAAACTGTGTTCAATCTGGCCTTTAATTTTGTGGAGACAATGAACAATTTTGTGGAGACAATGTGGGGCTCACTGCATGGTATGTTGTAATGTACTTCTTCCAATGACCAGTAAAGACAGACTAGGAAACATGGCATTAATATCTTGCATGACAGCACACCAAACACAGCCAGAGTGGCAAAAGAAAACCTTTAAATTATGACATTTCCAGTGCAGCTTTGACTTTAGTTTATCCTTTATAATGTACTCTTTAAATTGAAAAATCACATTAACTTGCTCTCATCTGACTTTCTGCTATTCAGCATTCAATCTTTTCTCCCTCTGCATTAATCATTCCCTCCCATTCAGGAAGCTAAAAATCTGCTCTTCTGTCACAGTTCCCCTTTCAACTTTTGGAAGGGAAGCATCCTGTGGGGACATTTTTGCTCATCTCCAGATCTGTTCCTATTCATGTCTACACTATGGGTCTACTGTTACTGTCCTTACTTCTAATTACTGCTAAATTGTACTCTCCCTCTCCCAGATGTGATGCCCTCCAGTCCCCAAGATCCTGACCATCAATTTTCCTAGTCAGCTCCTCCGTGTCCTAAAGAAATTTAAAAGTCAAAGCTGACTAGAAATTTGGAACTCAGATGATTAAACCAAACAGTTTCTTTCTTCTTTTCTTTTCTTTTTGTTCTTTTTCACGCAATCTCAGACCTGTGCAAATTCTGCTTCCTATTTTACTTGAAAAAACACTGTAAGCGCATAAATCTCTGGGGATTCAATGTCTTGTCACAAATCACACACCTGGCCAACAGAAACTTATAAAGTAATAAAAACATGTATGGTTTTCAATGCAAAATTTGTTGAAAAGAAGTAGTTCTTTACTACAAACATTCCAGAACAACTTGTTATGTTGTTGGATGACTGCTTGTCTAATAACACATGAAATGGAGGAATGGATTCAATTCTGTCCTTGACGTAGAAGACTTCCAACCCAATTCTTTCAAAGTATAGAATTCCACAAGTGCTGTATCACTGAGAAACAAACAATGCAAGATGCCTAAAACCAGATAAAGAGAATGTGCCTGTGAAGAAGGCATACAAAGTCCTGCTCTCCAGATGGCACTGGTATTTTTCCAGTGGCTGTACAATGCAGAAACAATAATAGAAAGGATCACAGCCTGATGATCAGTACTTTATCTGGGAGATGATAAAACCAATGTTGAAACTTACCCTTATGCCATGGACAGAATTGAACATTACTTTTCCAGATGAAGACTTTATTGTCAAGCTATTGCATTAGAAACAGGCATCCACACTACCCTTACACTAAACAAAAACTGTGAGCCCCACTGTTTCAAACAATAAAGGTAAGCAGTTAAAATTCAGGACAGAATTCCAATCATAACCTCATTTAGCCAGAGCAGTTTTGGCCCTCTTGAAAAGAGTCAGTTGTTTAAAAAATGCTTTAAAATACCCTCTGCTCCCTGATGCCTTCTTTTTCCCAGGCCTACGCTATCCTTGTGAGGTGGCTCCTGATGCTCTTTGCTCCAGCTTCCTAAGTTTGTGATCCACAAATTACTACTCAAATCAGAAACTCCCCAGTCTTGGCCTCCTATTTCTCACTCCTATTTCTATTTCTCTCTCTCCTATTTCTTTTTGCATGATGCAAAAAATTGCAGATGTCCAAGCAGCCAGTGCCTTTGCAGAATTTCCCTAAGGGTCACAAAGTGGCATGACTTGGGATTCAGAAATTTTCAGATTGCTGAACTACAAGTAGAAAAACCTTCAACAGTCATTGTCTCTGGGATTGACATTTGGTCTGGAAATGGCAACACCTAACACATTATCAACAGGAAGCTAACTTCTACACCTCTTCAGAGCTGATGCCAGCACAGCCAGCAATGGAAGTTAGGAAAAACCTGCTGATTTGAACCTGAAGTAGAAGCACACCAGATGTGGTTCCAGCCCTCTGTTGGAGCTGGTAACAGAGAAAGGCAACGCTCAGTCCAACAGGCAGAAAGTCTTTGCTCCAGACAGATTCCATAGGGTGTCCTGTGCTGCCCATACTTCCAAAGGGTCTTGGCATGTGCAGTAGAAACGAATGTGAGCTGAACAAATGCAGATAACAGAAGAGAACCCACTTAACCTATTGAGATTCTTACAGAAGTTTGCCATAGAAAAGAAAACTTAAGTCAGAAAAAGCTGCAAGAATCTCTCTTCTTTAATACATATCCAAGGAATCTATTTCTGACTCTTCACATCCATATACATCCTCACTTCTCTCTCTCTCTGTATCTTCATGTTCTTATACATAAATATTCATTTAAGTTTCTTCAGTCATCACTGTACTGTCACACATCTTCCTTGACTATGTCTGCTGCTCCTGCCCCCAGAGCAGTATGACAGCATTCACCTGTGCAATCATTTTCAGAGCTAAACATATCTCTTCACTTTAGTGCTTCTTCCCAATTACTCTTACATGGCCCCTTACAGAGCATGTGGGTTTTCACATCACCAATGTACTACACAGGGAGTCTAAACAGAAAGGCAAGGCAGCACCTGCCCAAAATTAAAAGTCATTGTGTCAAAAATGGAAGCAACTTTTATTTTTTTATGCAAGGCAGCCAGGTAGAAACTGAACAGATCAAATAACCTTAAAATATATTAAAAAATTAAATGGATGCTTTAGAACAAACAGGAAAATCTCACACCACAGCAGAGTCCTCTCCATACAGATTTGTATAGCTGGGTTTACTGCAGAGGAAAACAAGTTCTGACCTCCATCCTAATTTCATGTTAGGAGTGCACACCCATCATCCTGAATACAGTTTTCTCTGAAAGAAAAGCTGGATACCACAGTAGGAAAGCACCATGAAATGCTTCAAACAATCCCAGTTTTGAAGATTTGTTTCCACATCTAGTTCAATAAAAATATATGAAATATCAAAAACATATATTGCCTAATTTATCTTGATACTTCCCTGTCACAGAAATTACAGATTTAGTGTCTGAATACTTTCTATTCACATTGTATTTCATTTAGGCCTGAGCAGACGGATTTATATGGAATATATTTTCTGCAAAACAGCAGCTGAGAAGATTTAAATAGCAGTTAGCACCTAAATTGAGAGAGACACTAGACAAGTGTCTAAAAATGCTTAAATGGGATCAGTATCTTGCTCGTATTGAGTTCAGTATGAGTTATGCATCTAAACATTCAAACATGTAGAAGGGTTTTACAAAAGTATCTACTGCATATCAAGGCAGCTATGCATCTTTGTAAATCTCATTTTGTCTATACATGTCATAATAAATCCTCCCAAACATGAAGTTTTAACTTGCCATGTCACTTGCGTAAGTGAGCATAATTTTCCTAAACTTATGAAAAATATTAAATGAAATTTAGAAAGTAGCAGTTTTTCTTTGCTCTCTGCTTTATTTCCTGGGCAATCACATTTATTTCATGTCATGGTTTAAGTTTCAGCCTAAACCAGCTGAAACCAGGAAACTGGCTGAGGAAGAGAATTCAATTAAAAAGAAAAACAAAACCACCAAAAACCTTGTTACAATAAAGATGAAATGAATCCGAGAGTACTTTATTCATTATATTAGTAGCAATGAAGTCATCTTCAACTGTATTTGGAAATCACTGAAGTATCAAAACCACAATTTTCTGTGTTAGAGATTCAGCCTTCAGTATCATTAGACTACCAAGAAAGCTATATAGTAATAAAATGTATAAGAAAAATAACTGAGGATGTTTAGCTGGTTCTTCTGGGGGCATTTTCAATCAGATTCTGTTAACATTTAAAATTCAGACTAGTACTGAACATACTGATCTCCATTGATTTTACAAAAAACCTCCTTCCTTGCCCTCGTCATGCTCAGGACAACTAACCTGAATGGATTAGTGGTGACATAAAAATCCTTTCTGAGGTGTGGTAAACAATGAGAAATTAAGTGAACATTACATTCTAAATCTGTAAGAACCACATGTTATGTATTTTTTTATGAAGTTAACCTTCTACTATTCTTACTCTTTTATTATTTCTTTCTTGAATGTGCTATAAATAAGTCAGATTTAACTGAATATATTGTCCTTGTATCCCATCTTACTTACTACATTAAGCTTGGTTTGGCTTCCACTGGTCATAAGATCTTCCTCTGATACTTTACTAAAATTTTCCAGATAATGGTCTGATAGTGTATGAGACAGATCTTCAAAAGAGTATTCCTTTTCTTGGCACAATTTGATTTCATCTAAGAGCTTTGATAATTCTCCAGTCACAGCTTCACCTTTAAAAACAGACACACCATTAGTCAGTAATTAGAATACTGGGATAATTTATGCTTAAAAAGGAAATGCACATTCTTTAAACTTTATTGAGTATCTATTATTTTCCATACCTTATCTTCTACACAATCATCTTCATGCACCATTCTCTGCTCAAAAATAATGGCACCTTATTCCAGCCTGGGAATTTGCTAGAGGCAATCTACATTCTTCTGCATTGCCCTATACCTCGCATTTAATTAAGATGAATATACACTTACCCTTTCTCTGTTTTCTAATCCTGAAAATTTATAGAAATAGCAACTATCCAAGAATGTAAAATTAATCCAGGAAAGGAAAGTTTCTACAAACATACAAAATCAATATCTCATGTTCTGCATTGGGTTCATGTTTGCTGCTGTAATTAATTAATACACTACATAAACTCTGTAATCTGTGAGTGGTTAAGAATGTATCTCTCCCCCATCAAAGCAGATATGCTTTATGAATAATTCTTGCTCGCTCTCCCAGGATTAAATGGAATGGTGGAAGAATATACTGGGCAAACCCTACATGTTTAAAATATGCCTTCCTACAGTCTATCAGAAACACACATTTAGTGCATTCTGCATTGTGTTTCATGTTTTCTCCTTAATTTATCAGATTTCTTTAGTTAAGAAATCTACCAGAACAGTAAGACAATAGGCTTCATACGTCTATACTGAGGAACACTACTGGAAATAGTGGTTGTAATAACTAGTAGAATCACACTAAGTGCTAACCATTCTGCAAATAATCCACTGGCAGCAGTAAGGCCTCTACAGACTGAAAAGCTACTCAGTATGATCAACCCACATTGGGTTCTGATTCTGTACTGTGTGTGTGCGTTACAACTACCTTTAGTAATAGCAATAAGAAATTAGAAAGCCAAGAGTTTCCAGGCGCAAGTAAGAAGCCCCTTTTTTAAACTTTTTTAATGACTGTTTACAGTCATATTGGTGGAAACTGCAGTGCTTAGACTTGATAAAACACAGATGCTTCCATGTTACTCCATCTTTGAAAATAAAATGTTGAAAAGGAGAAATAGAGTGAGCATATTAAGCTCAGCATACATAAAACAGACTTAAGTACACTCACATAACTAAAGAATCCACTGATAAAAGTGTACTGCTTGGTACAAAGCTCTGTTTGCTTCATTTTTTTCAGTTACTGTTTGCTATGGTAACTCAAATACTCAAAAATGTATTTAAAGTATAACCACAGACAGTTATTACCAAAATTTTCAGAGACAAGAACAAGAGTTGTTAATTAAAAGAATATAATTGCTTTTTAAAATCTAACAAATTTTGCATTCAAAATTCTTGCTACTCTTAGTCAATGGTAGCTTTGCATGAAACTTTTAAACTAAACAAAAATATAACCAGGCTTATTTATATTCTGATTTTTAATTAGAAAATAGAAATTATTCCAGATTAATATTATAACTAAAAATTGGAGGTAAAATACCTAAATATAAAAAAACCTGTTATAAAATCTAGATACAGTGTGCTAGAAAGAAACAGAACTACTGCTTCCTACAGAGCTATGTTTATGTCCCTAGTCCCACATATGGCCTGCAGTATTTCTTACTGGGCAAGAAAGAGTTCTGTGGGACAAAACTGGACTGACCTGGGTGAGAGTGCACTAGTTGACTGGCTGATTGCAGCCAGAACACATAAAAGACAGATTTTGCCTATTTCTTTCAGGACAGGAACTAATTAGGGTCTTTTGCCTCTATCTAGCTCCCTGTTTTCATGAAAGTCACAGAAAGTTAATTGGTACTGCTATCCCTCTTCCAAAGCTGGTTTAAATTATCCGAAATTAGATTGTCAATGAATGGCAGACAGATGGATGGGAAGCATGATCAAGTACGATTTCTTTTCTTTAGTATCACATTACACAATAGACAAGCAAAAGCCAGCTTGCATGTTTTACATTATTTATACCTTGTAAGAGGAAATAAGGAATGTGAGATCATGACCTTATTGTTAAGAAGTAAAACATATTTTAAAAATATTTGCTATTTAATTTCAGGACAGACATTTCTATTGCATATGCTAGTTTGCTTCACAATCCTGCTAATTTCAAAGGAACTATTTATCTTCACACACCACATATGTTTTAAGTACTCCAATGGGAAATATTATTGGAACTACAGCATTTATTCACTACCACCACGAAGATCATTATCTGACATGCATCAGGAAGCTTCATTCTCTCACAAACAAAAACTATCCCAGTGAACATGTTAAAGAAAAAAAAATACTAAAAAAAAATCAAACAAACCACTATGAAGCAAAATAACACCACAACTCACACAACAAAACCAAAAACAGGCTGAATTATTTGTCAGCAATCAATTACATTCACTCTGGATGATTACTGAAGGCAAAATTCAGGTTTGGTTCTATAAGAAGATGATTTTCATTACAGACACCACACTCAGAAAACGCTCTATTTTAGTGGCTGTGGTGTGGAAACGGTGAATCAGAACATAAAATGAAAGCACATGCACACAAGTGACTGCCACAGTGTATGAAAGCTGTGTTAGAAGATGAATGGAATAGCAGTACACTTGTGACCTTTAAAGAGGCTTCCAAACGTAAAACAATTGGTAGATGCACTCACTGGGAAAGATGAAGTAAATTCCATTTTTAAACTGAATGTGATCAATACATGCAGAGTATTTAAACATAATTAGTACTTTTGTTTTACTTGATTATGAAATGGATAAGACCAGATAAACTAAGAAGATTTAAGATCAAACAATGCAGTACATTGTAGTCCATTAGTGACTTGTCCTTTCTAAGAATACAGTTCCTTCCTTTTCTAATGGCATGGATTACAGTGTATGTAGTCAAGATAGGTGATTCATGGTAGAAAAAAACATACTTGATATCAATAACTTTGTTAATATTTTTCCCACTTCGTACATTTAGATGAATGTTAATTAATATTAAAGAGAAATTCAGTACAGGTTTTGCATTCACAGAGGACATGTATTTACTTTTAGCCTTTGGAGATGGAGGAACTTCTGGGGACAAAACACAGGACTGATGTTCTGCACATTCCAGTGGGCGTTCCTCTGAAATACTTGCATTTCCTGTTTCCATGTATTCTGCAAGTTAAAGATACAAATACACTTAAAAGACTGAATTAAGGGGGTTTATTTCAAGCAAAAGTATATTTGCTACTTCGTTTTTCATTACAGGCTTTTCAATTTTTCATATTACAACCCTGTAATTATTCATAAACACTGCTGCAAGGCAATCATTTGTTGAAAGTACTACAAAACAGTATAATGGCCAGTCCTCTAATCTGTGGAAACTGCTAGAGAAATCTCATTGTAGGGGTAATGAGTTGAGACTATCCCTGTGTTTTTCTTGCCTCCTTGAAATATCAACATAACTGTTCTATTACATTATAACAATTAAAAGAGACTTTTATTCTAAGTTTGTGGAGGTTTTTTTTCAAGATATTCAGGATGCTCACATACATACAGACATTGATATTGTTAAGCCAAATACTCTGCTTGCAGCATGGATATAGTAGATGAGGGAAAAAAAGCAAACAAAAAAAAGCAATCCTGAAAATTTAGTTTAAAATAGCAGTCAAAAAAGCAGTGTACTACAATTTCTGGTTTTCGTCCTCAAAACTTCCCTTGCCCCATGTTTACGACAATGTTTATAATACCAGAAAAACATGAAATAATGAATGCTAATCTTCAATTTCATTACTGTTCTTTTCTTGTAAAGATCTACATTATTTTCATGTGCTTTTGTACATAAGCTACCTCAATGGAAGACCAAAACCTTAATGAATTTCAGTGCAATAATAAATAAGAAACTAATTTATGCAATAGTAGCATTTTATTTTTTTTTCAGCAGAGCAACTGGTTCTTAGTTTTGGCAGTTATTCTGCACCTGCATTTTCTTGAGTTTCTGAAAACTGTTTAAATAATTTCATTCTGATACCAGTAGTAACCACAATAGGATATGTCGCAACACACACAGAAGCAAAGTACAGTAACATCTTTCATCAGTATCACACTGAAGGACTAAGGAGCTTCTGGGAAGCGACATCTCCCTGATTTAATTTCTACAGTCTACAATGCACTTGTTTAGCTTGCTGCTACTCATGATTAAATAACAAATCCCAAAACCCAAATACAATCTTTGATAAAATAGACATCTGAGAAATTGAAATTGGAAATGGCATAGAACAGCATGCAGTTTCAAAATGCTTTGCAGATTGTTGGGGTATTTAAAAAAAAATTGTATGATTTGAAAGTGCCACATATTAAGTTTGATGGTTGGCAATGGACCCTGGCATAATCTGTCATAAATTTCTTCATATGAAAATGGGTCCTTATTTTGTGTTTTTGTGGGGGTCTGAAAGCAAAGAAGCAAAAATGAGCTGTAAGAGACCATGAGAAAACTAGCACCATGACAAAATGCTCTGGAATGTTTTCCAGCTCTGTCAGCAATAGTATTTGTCAAGTTAATGTGCAAGATGAAGAAGAGATATAAAGGAAGCCAGACCCAAAGAAAAGTAAAAGAAAAAAGAAATTCAAGTCTGAAAAATGTTTGCTTAGTAATTATGGAACTTTCCAAAAGGAAATGTAATTCTATGAGGTGAATGCTACAACTATTAGATCAATACAGCTATGATTAGGAAAGGAAATGGAGGGGATATTGTGAATAACTCTAACCTTGCTGTCACATAATCATACAAGACTGTGGTTTTAAAATAATTCTCTATTTTTATTCTTTGTCAGGCCTTCCAGACCAATGCACTTACCTGCTGGAGGCTAGTTCTGAGGAGGAAATCCCAAGTTCAACGTAAGTCTTAAATACTTACTTTAAAAAATGCAGATTTTCTTCCAGAAAACCTTTACAACTGGCTCACACAAAGTACAGTACAAGAGGGGTGGCAGCATGCCAATGTTGTGAGGGTACAACCCTTGAAACTTTGGGCTTCTGTGGGACTTCTAATTTGGTTTTATATTATTGAAAGTTCTACCAGATACATACAAGACAAAGACAGGGCCTCAGCTGAAAGAGGCTTAAGTCTGACAATATTATCAGAGAAAGAGACACAAAACAGAGATAGGCGGTCTCTGTCAAGAGCCAAATTAAAGACACACAAAAGCACTGGATGCTTTCACCAATGGCTGCATTCTATTGGAAAATAAAAACCCCAACTATTTATTTTAATCAGTATTTTCCTTTGAATTAAGTATAAGCTCCTTTCTTTTGTTTTTATACTTCACTTCAGCCACACCATGGAGTAGACTCATATAGAGTTCTTCCTAGAACAATTTTTCCCTAAGGAGACCAAAAGGCTCTTTAAAATCCTAAAAAAAACAAAAAGGGCAGATTTGATCAGAATAAAAGTCTGAACACACCTTTTCAAACAGAAGACTCTCTTAACTAACTAGATCACAGAAATAAAACTTATATAGGAACCAGTCCCCTCCATAGCCAATGTCCTTCCAGGGAGGTGCTTACATCTCCTTCACTCCACATCTTCCTGAAGGGCAGCAATCTTCAGAAAACCCTCTGCCCTCCCTAAGACTCTTCCAGGACCTGTCTGAGGATTCTGCAGCTCCATTGTGTCCTACCCCAACCTGGAAGCTCTCAAAAAGCTCCTCCCAAAAAGCTCACTTGCTCCCAAGGGAAGGAGGCCACCTGAGTCTTCATGACCCAATTCCTCTTCTCTTTACAGAAGATGCAGTAGCAGGAAACTGACTGGTAACTACCGTTGTCAGGTGTGCTAAGGTGACAGATGAGCTGTGATGGAGGATGGTTCACTTCAGTCTCCTAAATTTCAAAGGACAATTTCTAAATTATTCAAGTTTAACTTAATCCCAGAGAAAGCTGAAATCAGTAGATGTTTTTGTGCTTGTGTTCAGGAAAGAAAACAGAAACAAGCACTGAAGTACTATGATTGTGAGATACATAAGGGTGCAGCTGAACTTTCAGTCTCAACAAAAGCAGTTAAATTAATTTGTGAATGCAGTTAATGCCCTACAGCCTTTGTACAAGAGCCTACTGAAGAAAATGAAAAGTCCTCAGAAAAACAAAATAAAATGAACCCATAAACAAAAAAATCCCCAAAACAGCAAAGGGGAATTGAGATCTCAATTATTTTCATCCCATGCAGCTGTAATTAAATCCTTGACTGAAAACCTATTCCATTCCTCCAGTGAGGGTGGCCTCCTGCACTCAAGGGAATGGAAGATGTACTTGTCCACAGAAAGAGCAGGAGAGAACGAGAGAGAGCATACATTAATAAAAAATAAAAAAATAAAAAAAGCCAGTGCTAATGACACCAAAGATATTTAAGGAAAGAGGAATAGAAAAGGAATAGAAAGGAGTTCTGGTTCTGCAGCTGCCTATTCATTTCCCATTTATGAATAATTTGGTAACAGGTACAAACAATGTTAGTTTTCTAAGCAGCTTCATCAGAAGAGAGGAAACAAAACAGTTTTCCAGTGCATTTCCTTCCATACTGTCTATGCAGCAGCGCTTACTGGGGCTCATGCCATTTTTCATCTGTTTATCTACTATCTCCTTTGTTTCATAGTAACGAGAATTCTGTTTCCCGAAATAGTAAAAGAGCAAGATTCTAATAGAGAGCATAGTGGGCTGTGGAGAAAGAGTTGAAAGATGGTGCAGCTCGCACCTGCGTCACGTTCACATGTGCTAAAACTAAAACACAGCTGGTTGGTTTTATTTTAGGCCTACTAGCCTTGGCAACATCCCTTTTATCTCCAATGCCTAATTATAAAAGCCCTAAGTGCCAGTACTGTTAACTGCTTCAGCACTGAGTGCTGTTGTTTCACTGCACCCATGAAATGCATCCAGTAGCCTGGCCTTGCTTGGCACAGTATCCTAACTCTACCCTCTCCCAGTACATAGCACATTTACAGCTATTTCTTCCTTACTACGTTAAGAATCCAAACTCTATTAAGTATTTTTAATGAGTTCAATGCTACTCAGATCTAATGAAGACACAGAAAATTATGAGATATACAAAAGAGAGAGAATTAAATCCTGAAGCATCATTTCTATTAATTCCAACTATAATTACCAGGCAGTAAAAAAAGTATTAAGTTAGTGGCCAAACTACCACAATAGCTTACTCAGCCTTTTTCATGTTGCTCTTTTAAGTGATCTTTTAATTTATTTTCCTTCTATCAGGTTATGTGCCAACATCTCAAAAAAGATGGCAGGCTTTGCGAACGCACTAAAAAATTTTTTTGCAGAAACTTCTATTGCTGTTTTCTCAGGATAGTAAGAACAGATGTAAAATAAGGATCACAAGAATGCTAGGATCACTTCTAAAACCTCACGGGCAAAAGGCCTTGTTTCTTTAAAATTACAATTTGTAAAAAGTAGTTTTCTAAATATTCTTAAAAGAGGGAGGACTATTTCTATCCAAAATTCTTAAATTCTGGGAGAGCATTTATTCACAAGTGGCTACCAGCCCTGCTGGGTTTAGTATCAGCTCATGTTTAGTGTTACTACCTTCATTAACTGATTCTAAACACAGAAATTACTTTTATCTCCTTCAAAGTAGTTTCTTATAAATATTCACAGATCTAACTCATTCTCTTTATAAACATTTCTTCCAACTCTGTTATCCCTCTGCATAACAGGCCCACCAGTAATACCAGTCACATTATTTCCTTGTCCATTTCTGCCAGCCTGTCCATAGGCATCTTTCAGTGTCTGTTTTATATTTTGAAAGCTAATGTTTCGTGGCAGGGAAAAAATCTATGCTATGTTAATACTATAAACTGTAAAGTGACACTCAGAACAATGCAAGGGGGAAACAGTAAAAATTAATGAGAATGCTTAGTGATAAAATCTTAGTCTATCCTGGCAACAAGGTGAAAGAACAAATTAATTCCACTATGTCTGCATAAAGCACAAAATTAGCAAGAAACTTAAAAAATCTGCCAGTAATTGTCTGGCATCATTAATTTAATTTCTATTTCCTATAAGTCTACATGAACGAACCTTGTAAGCTGCTGTAGACAACCATCTGAAGACAGCAGCCTTAACGGGAATTTATTTGGAAGCCACCAAATCTCTCTTAGTAATTGCCCTTCCTTTGCCTGGAATTCATTATGCACTGAAGTCGAACTCAATTATAGTACAGTCATTATTCCAGAAATTCCAGTGCTTCACTGATTTTTCAGCTACAATAGGATAAATACCCATACTTCAGTGAAGAGTATACTCAGCTGTCTTTTTTAGAGGAGTGTAGGTCAACTGTATCATCAATAGTGCTGGCACTGAATCCTGCTACTCCTGACTTTTTCAACTTCAGTTCACAGTTCAAACTTTAATGGATAAAGATTCAGTGAACATCTTGATGATGAAAAAGAATCTACGTAGGCTCCCCAGGGGAGTTCTGAAGGGACTCCTCAGGTTGTCTTAAGACTCAGAATGGCATCTTTGTAACCATTCTTCATTCTTGCACACCACTTCTGATTATAGGCAGAGAGCAAAAATAAACAGCTGCTCATTACAAGACAGTTTCATCACACTAATAAGAGCTGAAACTACTAAGCAGTTATTTTGATACTTCAGGGCACACTTTTGAAAAAGACTGCATGTCAAAGCAACAAAAAGAATTGAAATTAATACATTTATTTTTCTCTGTGTGTGTGGTAAAGACTGAGGGCAGGTACCGATCCATTAACATGAGAAACCCATGAGATGGCATTGGGTGCTTTATTATTCACAGAGCAAGGGTACTCTGAAAAAAATGTTCGTCAGTGGAGACTGCAAGGTCATCACACTAAGGAGAAAATGGAACAATGAAGATATAGTAAAATTAGTTTAGGTGGTGATGGGATTTTTTGATGAATCTTAGATTAATACCTGAAGGATGTTTGATTTTGATGTCTAAGAAAATGGGAGTTCTGACCAACCCTTTTCCTGCCACTGAAGAACTCCTAGTATGACATTAACCCTCTTTTCTTCTACATGGTACTATGTTCATGCTGCAGCTCTGTGAGGACTTAAAGATTGAAGTTTGAGTCTGGCTCAAATTAGAAACTCCCTTCTGCTGACAGGGGAAGCCTGTGTCCTCCACACATCTCTTCCTCCCCACTTTTCAATGCACTGTGTAGTTACCTGAGATAGAGGCAACTCTGAGACCTGAATCACACAGGAGGCAAGCTAATTAAAACTACAGAAAGTATATTTATAGATTTTTCATATTGTTTCTCATTATTTTATATATATAATAAATATATATTTTGTATTCTACCAGTTCATGAACTGAATCAAGTCACTTTGAAGTCTCATGTAAATGGGAAATATGTAAGAGAGCTGTGTAGGTGGAAGTAGGGGAGGAGGAAGGGGAGAAGTGAGGGAAAAGGCAAAGGAAAATAGGAAGGGAGAGAGGGAGACCTCAAGGCAAGCTGTTAACTGGTTCAGCTGTAATATGAATGTTCTCCTTACAGAAATACCTCTCCTACAGCCCGCAAAATTTTCATTATACTTATAGAAGCTTTGTATCTTCAGTCCATCATCTTACTGGAAACCTTTATGGAAGCTGTTCAACTAGTTTGGAAATTATTCAGGAAAGAAATGATACAGTATGGCCACATGACCTCATTTTCTCTAGGAAATGGTCTTATAAAATACAGTTATGGGGGAGCCTGTAGCATGAGCTAGTTCATGTGTAGAACCAACACTGAACTGATTAAAATGGCTTATTTAATGGTGGGAATAATCAATAGAGATGAAGATGCAGCACTGATACCTGCAGGGACCTCCTCTGTCAAATGTACTTAGTGAAAGGCTAATCTGAAAATGCAGGGAACAAATTGCACAGAAGAGAAGAAATTATGCTTAACACTGAGTTATGTTCTATTTCATGTTTCATCACTTTACTGCCATCTTCTAGAGCAGAAGATTGAAGTAAACAATGAACTTCCATCAACCTGGCACCGTAAAAGTAAGACAGGGAATGAGAACAAATGCATGCACGAAAAATTGTATTATTTCTCCTATAATAAAAAGAAATACTGCCTGATTTTTTTTGTTTTGGTGTTGTTTATTATGTTGTTGTTTTTTTAAAATCTAAGAAAATTGAGCAAAATATAATTAAATTGTTTGAGAAATTGTCATCGTCTTTCAGTCATTTAGTTGCTATTTATGAACAAATCAAGCATTTCAATTTTAGGTTATCATTACAATTTAATGGAACTGCTATTGAAATATTACAGTATGCTATGGTGTAATGAAGAATGTAAAAAGACTAAGTATAAGTGACACACCATGCTAATGTCAGTGGCCCGCAAAAAAAGAAAGGCTTTACTCTGAAATTCAGATATTAGACAACTTATTTTTGTTCAACTGGTCTTTTTAAATCAAAAGACTCCTCCTTTATGTAATGAAACACGTTAAGAGTAGAAATTATTATATACAACCATACTTCTCTATTTTCTCTAACAAATGTATAATTGAATATGGCTTACCTTGAAGTAGAGCTGCAATTTGGAGAGACTGCTGAGATGGATGTTCTTTAAGTATATCCAAAACTGTTCTACCCAAACTGTCCTTTATGTTGGTATCAATTCCTGAAAAAGAGATGGATCTGTGGTGGAATATTTAACCCTAAATGCTTCGGATTATAAATGTGTTATATCAGACTGAGCTTTCTGACAAATTCAAACCAAGTGGTTTTACAACTGCATTACAGCTGAAGTACAGGATACATTTCAGTTTAAAGCTTGAGTAGCCTAAAATTCACATGCTGACATGGATGTTTTTTATGTTTCCATAGAATATGGGGATATAAAGTAACCAAATTTGGGATTACTTTAACAGATTGTTCCTAAGGAACAGAGAGCCATACTGAAAAGGATCTTTTGTAAAATCAATGAATTATTTGAATGTTTCTCCTACATTTCTCTCCAAATTCCAAATTCATTGGGAACTTTCTAGTCCATAGTAGGTGTTCTGAGAGCAAGACTGAAAATATTTTTATCTGTATGTTAATAAAGTTGTACTTCATGGCAACATTTTCAAAATTCATGCCATGAATAGACTGAAATATCCATGTGTAGTATACAGGCATTATGAACAGCCACGGGATTTCCTCACGGACTGTCCATACTGTTAACAAAGAAATGGCTTGCCTTAAACTGTGAACTAAGTTTGAGAATTGCCCTGAATCAGAACCTGTTGTGCGTGGTACTTGACTCTCTACCTTTGCCTTGTAGGAGTTTCCTTGGAAATTTTGCCTTATGATAAAATACTCAAGTTGTTTTTCCACTTAGATGTGCTTTCATAAAAAGTAAAGATATGAAATGTCTTAGCAAACAAAGTGAAATTCTTCTCAGGACACTAAACAGAGAAAAATAGAGAAAGCAGGATTTAAAAGGACACTCTGAAAGCGTTCAACAGAAAAGGCTGCAATTACAGTAATTTCCTAATTCAATGGACAGTTTCCTAATTTGTTTTGTGAGAAACACAAAATTTTCTCTCTGAAAAAAAACAAAATATTACTGGGCTATTTAGCAGTGACAGTTGACTTTCAGAGGCCAGACACACCAACTCACATATTTCCTTTGTAGTAGCTACCTATAACATCTTCTGACTCTTTTTGAAGAACTAGAAAAAAGGGGATTGTTAGGTATAACAGGCAGAAGGTGGGGAGTGTTGCAGAAGTGCAGAGCATTTGGGGTTGAAGGAGTTCACTGTGAAGATTCTACTCCACTGTCTTGACAATTGTACGCTGGTAGAGGCTGTAACACATTAATCTGAAAAAGGTGAGCCTTTTCTGTGGTCTGAAGGACTTCCTATGTTTTTGTGATGTTCTCCAGTCCTTCCTTTTTCAGGAAATAAAAGGGACTTGCCTTTTTTAAGGCAGGTGAAGATCCCTTTCAGCCTCCTTCTTTTTCATCCAGAGAGAAAAGAAACTTGGAAGGGCCTTTTTTTTTCTGAAAACAGGTCTGAGATCAGGGATAGACTAGTTGAGATTCAGCTGAAGAGCTGTGATTAGGATAAACCCTTTTTTGCAATGTATGAGTAACACCACAAGAACTGATAAAAAAGATCAATGAGATCCCTCAATGTAATGGAAGTACATGAATCTACTACTATTTCTAAGTACTTTCATTCTCATTGGTCTTACAATTTATCTGAGAAGAGAGTTATCTAGATGAGTAATTTACCTACAACAGTTCTGAAACTTATTATGCAGTGGATGGGTTGTTTGGACTTTATATCCCTGTTCTTTTCTTTCAGGACAAATGCAATTCTCAGAGACACAGTGCCTTCCCTTTTCTTCAAGGCACTCAGTTTATCCAGGAAATGAAGAAGCAGGCAGAATGGTATGTTGGCTAGGAATAGCTAACTGAAGGAAATAAATGTGAACATGAATCCTGTGGTCTCTACATCAAAGAATATTCTTGGCTGCCTTTCAGAGAGAAAAACAAAATTTTATGTAGCCATTTTGTTCTCATAATACATTTATTCTCAGAATACAGTGGCATACACTGAGTCATATATGGAATTTCTGAGTCTGAACATCACCTTTGTTCTCTGTGTATAGCAATTTCTTATTCTAAAAGAACACTGTTTTAATGAGAAGTACATGTGATTAGATTTGAAAAGGCTGATAAAGTAATTCCAAAAAAAGTATAACCAAAACTTAAGGAGGCATACACCAGATTGGGAAAATTAAGGGTATTTGTTCAGTGTTTCCTGTAAATCAAATTTACCTGTTTCAAGCAAAATGCGTACTACCTCCACCTTTCCAAATAGGGCTGCTTCATGCAGGGCACTCCCTTTTTCTGTCTAGAAAAGAAATATTGTGACATTTAAAATATCAATTAATCTTTCTGTAAAGAATACACTTGGAAAATAAGTATTTATTTTTTCCCCTCTATTTTAACTACACATAAAAAACACTGAATGGGCAAGAATAAATACTAGAATACAAGACTTTTTATTATTATTCAAGACAAAACCAAAAATGCTGTCAGTTTTATAATAAAATTAATAAGTATATAAGAAAATATAATAGGAATGTAGTACAGCTCCCTGTTAACAAGCCCGGGTTTATGTAAAATTTCTAAACTCCTATTACAGGCAGTGAAAATCTAGTCAGTACCATCAATGGAACACAGCTCTTCAGCAGGGTCAGACAGTTTACATGTGTACATCTACAATTAGATGTTTTAATGTGAAACTGATCATACCCTGGGTCAATTCAGTTATACTGTGAAAGATGTCCTAGGATATTCTGGTGTCCAGCTGCTGGTCCACTTGATGTTCACATTTGATCTGCTTCACATCTGCCTCATACAGATGCCTTACATACCTTAGGGCACCCCCAACAGCTTTTGATGCCTATGCTTATGTTATTTAAATTCTACCTTAGATGTCTGTGAATTTGATTTTGCAGTTTTGACACAAAAGTCTTTGTGAGCAGACTTTTGCTCAAATAAAATTTACAGTACTAAAAAAACCACTATCTCTCTTAACAAGCTACATTTCTAACTGCTGTTACTGAAAAATCTGAACAGAATAGCTTTCCATCCAATAGCATTAGCGTTAGCTAGAGCACTACTAGATCTCGCTGAGTATCTGACTTACCTCTTTTGTTTTTGATAGTAAATTAGATTTATAAATTATTTGTAGAAAATGTTAAAGGTTTTACTGCTTGAATTTGTTTTTTTTTATATACTTTATCAAGTCATACTTACTATGGTGGAAAGACCTTAAAGACACACACATACAAAAACCAATTCTGAAATAAAATACTAATTCATTATTAATTAGTTGTGTCAGAATGCATCAGAGTTACAGCAATGCAATGACAGGATACTTAGAATTAATCAGAGATCCTTAGATGGGATGTGAGCCCACTGTAAGTGTACATATGTCCCACCAATGCTTAGTACATGGAGATATAAAGTAGAGCATGCCCATCTACATCCTACACACCACTTATACTAACAGTATAACAGAGGGCAGAAGGAAGTCAGTAAGAGAATATACATACAAAACACATGTCTCAAAATAACTTCTAATATTTCCATTTTCAGAAACAATCCAGTTGAACATTCCCAGGTTTATTTGGAACAATAAGGCTAAATATTCAGATTCAGAATCTTTTACTCAAACAACATCTTCAGCACACTTCCAGTTACTGCAATTGACTTCAAAAATGGGATAACTCTGCAATGATGGTGCAACCACAAAGGTACACACAGAGATTAATGTGCAGCTTGGAAATTTCTGGGAATGAGAAAAATTCTCAGAAAAGTCACAAATAGTTATAGTTCTGATTACTGAAACAGGCTTGATATCAGCAATCTTTAAAAAAGCCTCTTATCCTCTTGGTGTCATATGGCATTTCCTTTGGACTGACCACTTACTGGCATGACTATTGGGTGGACCTGGCACTACTAAGATGGAGCTCTCTGTCATTGAGGAGTGTTGACAGCAGGTCAAGGGAGGTGGCTTCCTTTCTGATCACTACTTGTGGAGCCACACCTGAAATGCTCCGCTCAGTTCTGGGCTCCCCAGCACAAGACAGAGATGGAGCTACTAGAGGGAGACATTAAAATTGTGAAGGGACTGGAGCATCTCAGTAAAGGAAGAGAGAGCTGGGACAGTTTAGCTTATACAAATGAAGGCTTACAGAGTATTTTATCACTGTGTACAAATATCTGAAGGGAGGGTGTAAAGGCTAAGCCAGGCTTGATCATGTCCAGTGACAGAAGAGATAATGGGGAAAAACTGAAACACAATAGGTTCTTTCAAACGTAAGAATTTCTTTTGCATTGCAGGTAACTCAGCCCTGGTACTGGTACAGGTTGTCCAGGAGAGTTGTAGGTTCTCAGTCCCTGAAGCTATTCAAAAGTTGTTTGGACACAGTCTTGGGCAACTTATTCTGATTCTGCTTGAAAACGGGGAGTTGGACCTGAAGACCTCCAGAGTTCCATTCCAACCTCAACCATGCTCTTCAAGGATAAGAATTAGTGATGTATACATCAACAATGAAATCCACAGAGGTTCAATTGTTAGAAGAAGCCAGAGCACTAAATTTTATTTCTATGAGATTGAATTGCAGAGATTAAAATCAGTTGCACCTTGATTAAAATTGTAGATATAATTCTGTACTAATAAGGAACCTTGTTTAATGGAAAAAATGGACTACATTAGTGACAACAATTTTTCTATTGCTGTACCATGATCTAAGACTGAGAAAGATCAATGTTCTGGCATAGTGAATCAACAGCTTTGAGGACAAGGAACAGGATCTACCCTCAGATTACCCAGCTAAAGGGTGAAAAAGATGCTGATATGATAATTGGCATGGGCAGCAGTCTTTCCGTTCATCAAAATTCCCCACTGGAGGAAAGGTAAGCAATATTTTCCTTGATGAAAGCACACACCTTGTAAGAAATTGAATTAAAACTAATATGAGAAGAGAAACTTCCTGTAGATGTGTAAGGCAAAAAAATCTATCTGGGGGCAATTTAAGAACCAGAAGATAGCTCTGCTATGCATAAAGGGAGTACAGGAACTTAAGACACCTTTACACATGTAATTCCTAGAGTTGGGAGAGGAATCCAACCTTAAATGCCATTTTTTTCCCTTATATACTTACTTTCTTCCTTGATGATATTTCCTGTCATATCAGAACATTATCCTAAAACTCTTTACAGACATTCCACACTGCCTTGTATTCTAGGGCAGTCTATGCTTTATAACTCTGAGCTATGAGACAATAGTAATGAATGTCACATCCCAGAAATAAGATATATGAACAATTTGTTCAAAAGAGGAATTTGAAAGGCACACCATATGAACAGTGCAAGGATCTGTACACTATAAAAGTGTTTTTCTGAACAAGAGGGGAAATATTACCATGAAACTGAACTAAAATCAACCTGAGAATATGGAGAAAGCACACTTGTAAGATGCAGACGTATAATCCTGCATAAGGTGTCATGGAGATGAATGATGACACAAATTTTAAAAGCCCTAGGCAGGATTTCATGGTAATAATGAATAACTAACAAGTGAATCAGATCCCTCGACCCAAAAACTATCCAGAAGGCAAAAATGTCCTTGTTACCAGACAGTTCAGTTACCAAACTCTGCTTTAACTCAGAGGGAATGCTGAACCTCAGGATGAACAGGGCCAAGAGGAATTCTGACTGGCTCAGTAGATATATCTCTCTTTGTAAATGTCCATGTAGCTTACTACTTGAAGGTAGAAGTAAGTTCAGAATGTTTTTCTCTTGTGCAATAGAACATTTACACAATTCACGAGGATAAAAAATATAGTTGCAAATAATTTCTATATATTATTTAAGATGTGCTAGAACTTTTAGGTAGATCTTTTTCACTGATAACGGTGTACTTGTGCACTAATATATTCTTCTTCTCTATACTACAGCAAGTTAGCTTAAGATTTATAGACAATTTTCACTGCTTTACTTCCTGAAGCTTTCATTGACTTGGATCATATTTTCCTGGCAAAGTAAACATTACCATTATATTTGGAAAGTCTTCCCCGATCATACTTAATACAAAAACTGCTGGCAATTTTTCATGAACAAAGTGAGCTAAAGTCTACTTGAGTTTGCATCAATGGATAATATATTGATTCTCTGGCATAAGTTTTCTGTATATGAGATACAGAGAACTAGAGCACAAATTGTGCTAAACATGTAATAAAACAGTCCCTGCCCCTGCTTATTACTAAGTACAGGTACAATGTCACAGGTGGATACATAAACTAAGCTAGGACAGAAGGACATCATCAATAGGCATACCAGAATACCCAAGTCACCTTGGTGTACAATTTGCAGCCTCACAGAGAAGCACCAAGGGTTTTAATAATTACACATTTTCTTTTAATCATGTAAATATGCAAGAGCTTGTAATTAGGTCACTTGTCTAGTCCTTATTCATAGGCAGTTTGCTATAGTTCTGACATGGATTTCAGACAGAATCTGAAGGACAGAATGGTAGCTTTGCAAATTTATTAATGGAATTTCCTCCATATACAGTGGGAGCAAAAAGGAAGGGGCACGGCTTTTTGCAAAACTACCAGTGACAAGCAGTGGAAATTGCTGTCATTATTGGAACAGACAGGGAAGGCAAATAGGGATAGATGAAAGCTGGATAAACAGAAGGGGCCAAGATTTTAGGGTATTTCTAATTATTAAACTACTGTTTACATGAAACATACTGAACTGTGTAGGATCTTGATTTACTGAAGGCCCAAAATCTATCATTCAATCAAAACCTGCTTATTTTTCGTATGTTTCAATTTAAATGAAAGCTTCAAAGCATAAAGAGATGGAGCAGATTTGGATTGCCCTCTCCTAAATAACTCTGGATTGAAGGATAGTGGATAAACCTGGAAAATTAATAAAATATTTGATTAATTAAAAAAAAATTAAATGCTGTCTTTTATTCGCCCAAATTTTTGCTGTGATTAAAAGTGCTCAGGGAGTACAGAAGAGAAAGATAAGATGGCTAAAGTAAACCTCCCATTTAAACAAATACATCTTTAAAATTACAGACTGATACAAGACAGGCTACTCATATTATCATTGCTAAACACTCTGAGAGGTCTTTACTGGTGATAAACTGAATTTATTTAACACATTTGAATGTGTACAAAATTGTTTACCACATAAAATATTACTTTGTAAAATGTTCTTTCTCAATCAGCAATGCAGATCAATTTAATTAATAACAAAATAGCTGAGTTTAGTTTTAAGTGACAGGCTGATAATTTCTGTTCTCCTCAATTTAATAAGCTGCCAGTAATCATCAACAGAATTTTTCAGAGGCTATAGCAGTAATAAGTTAACAGTAGGTACAGAGCCAAATTACCAATATGCTAAGATGCTAAATGAAAAGGAACATATTGATAGAAAATATGTATTCCGGCAAGAAAATAAATAAATGATATTTCCTTATGTCAAATAGGACAAAACCAGAAGGAACAAGATAACCTAGTGCAAAGAAAAATAAAAATAAAAATCACCCTGCCTCTGAATAACTTCCAAAAAAAAATAAATCTAAGAATATATATCAATTAAAAGCAATTAGAATAAAATGAAATTTTAAAAAAAATAAGCCCTATAATTTTAGTGTAGATGCCAAAGAGATCACTATTATTAAAAGAACCTTTCATTTCTTAAAAGATTGAAAAAAAAATTGCAGCCACTGTATTTTTTAAAGACCAGTGAAAAACTTTTAGTGTAACTATAGATAAAAATGGCTTAGGAGAATTCACAGCAGTGCTAAAATTATCCAGATTACATAAGAGGAAGAACACATTTCATAAAAACATTGTGTAATATTTTGCCCTCATGTAACCATCAGTTTGGAAGTTGCCGTGACAGAGACCATTTTCCTTCAATTATTCTATTTCTTAAATATCAGTTCAGGCATCAGTTTCTGAATTTTTCCTCATTCATTTGCTAGAGATAAAAGAGAAATTTTATGTTCAGTAACATGTGTTTGAAAGTTCTATGTTGCTGTAGCATTAAACTTTTCTAGAATACTGAAGATGTAGTAATAGTAAAAGAAAGATAAAAAAGTGAGCTGCTTACATTAACCTTTGCAAGTATCTCTCTTTCTAGTAAAGAAATCAAAATCAAATTAAACTGAAATCTTGATGAGTGGCAAATTCCCAAGCTGACAAATCACACAGAAGTGTTTCACTTTAAAATTGTTTGAACCAAGTACCAACACTAATTCAAAACATGCAAGAGATAATAAAAGTAGTAAAACAATTTTACCACATTTTCCTTTGGAAGACGGTTAAGAATGTCCACTTTTAAGCCTAAAATACACTAATATTTTTTTTATTTGCTTTGTTGTTTTGGTGGTTTTTAATCTGTCTTTTCTTCTCCACTTCACATTCTTTTTCTCAAAGAATTTTTCTCTTTTCCTTTTTCTTCTGTTTCTCAAGAAACATGATCTTGATGAAGAATCCAGAAATAAAAGTGTATGGAATCCAGGTCCAATCTTTCTATATAAAAGGGAATTTTGTGTATTAAGGAGTTTGATTAAATGCACCGAAGGCTTGAAATGGATATAAATTTTAGTTAAAGTTTTGGCAAAGTTTGCAAGATTTGTTCACAGATTGACAGAATTTTCTGAGCTGGAAGTGACCCAGAAGGATCAAATCCAACTCTTGAGTGAATGGCCCATACAGGGATTGAACCCACAACTTTGGTGTTTTTATCAGCAGGCACTAACCAACTGTCAAGTGGTAGAGAATGTCTGAATGTGACTCTAAAGTAGATGTAATTATGTTTGGTTTCTTGCTTGTTTTATCTGAAAATAGACATAAACTTGAAACAAATTAATTCAAAGTATATTTTATACAAGAGAGAGACAGAAAGGAAGTTACTTCATATATGAAGATGAAATCCACTCTTCAACAAACATAGTGCCATCAATCAAATCAAGAGAAATCATAAGATTGAAGTAACATTTCAGAACACATAAAAGAATCCAGCGCTCTGTAGTTAAAAGGCCTGGACACCTTCCAGTACAAAGAACTGAACAAAAAATTCACTGCTTCTGTACCTTGTGTCTCTTCCCATCTATGTCTATTTTATTTAAAGTTACCCCTTAAACGTCACTATAACTTAGAGTGTATAAACTAGACACACCAAACAGCTGACAGGTTGGAGTCAGTAGCTGCAAGAGTGTACTGCTATAGAATTTTCTTTCAGATTTATAAAACAAGCGTTTAGAAATTCAAAAAATCAAAATTGTTACTACTTACCAACTTGAGTTTTGAACGGAATAATTAGAGGAAAATGAGGTCTCAGTGAAACACTGTTTTAGATTGCTGTGATGATGAATGGCCACAGCTTTAGAAAATCAGCTTATGACCTTTACAGCCACTGCTGTAGAAAATATATTTATATACAGGTACATGAATGGTTGACATGATTTGTGTATCTACATGTCTCAAGACACCATTAAAACATGCACTCAGCTTTGAAGATATGTATCTTTCTTTTAACACATTGTTGGAGTTGTCACCTTGCAGCATTTCCAACTAGAGTAAATGCAAGTGTATTTTAAAGGAAAAAATATCAGGGGAGGGAGGAAGGGAGGAGGGGAGGAAGGGAAGGAAGGGAAGGAAGTGGCGGAAGGAAGGAAGTGGCGGAAGGAAGTGGCGGAAGGAAGGAAGTGGAGGAAGGAAGGGGCAGAAGGAAGGGGCAGAAGGAAGGGGCGGAAGGGGCGGAAGGGGCGGAAGGGGCGGAAGGGAGGAAGGAAGGAAGG